TTATATAGGATTTTTAGGTTAACTTGAAAAAGGCTTCCTCTATTTCTTAGATTTGATTTTTAAATACTAAGCAGAGAACATCAGCAAGCTAATTAAGGGAACTGAAATCCTCAAAGAGCTAACCTTTTATCTAATTCAGGCCAGTCTTGAATTTATAGAATTGTTTGATAATCTGATATTTTCCCATTGTTATTTTATTGCATGTCAAAACACTTCATTCATCTTAATAAGAAAGAAAATTTCATTGTCTTTTAAGGCTGAAATTTTCTTTCTTATTAAGATGAATGATCCTAATTGAATTTTTGAGAATTTTTATTAAGTCACAGTGATGTGTTATAAACATAACAGATTTAGATTTATAGGATTTCTTAACATCTCAATGAATGTGTTTTTCCCACAGGCTCTTCAGCATATAGATAGATCTGCCCCTGGATAGTGTGGGCTTTGTCCTTTCATACTTACTGTTTTAATTTGGAGTTCTTCCTTTATTTTAATAACTTTAACTTTCATAAAAAAATCAGTTCCCAAATGTCTTATGCTGAGGTCAGATGTGTTCTAGAACAGGAAGCACAGATGCACAGTACCACAGCAAGTTCACCCTCACCGTGTAGGCTTTCTCCAAGAGAAGTCAGTAAAGCCTCTCCACAGCTTGCTATAGCATCCCACCAGGTAAACACTGCCTCTCTATGCAGTGGCTGCTGACATCTACCCACAGATGATCCACGCGGGTGGTTTAATCTCATAAATGAACTGCTCTTCCAGGCCATGTCCTTGCTGTTTTAAAATGACTTTATTTCTCTGCATTCCATTGTGAGTTGTGAAATATTCAGTTCAGTTTCACTTGGTCAATGGGAAGTTTGTTTCATACATTCATATTGTGGCATTGACTGGTTTTCCTTTTAAGAGTACAGGTACTTTGCAAAACTCTTGAGTCTTTTTCCCCTCCAGAAATTCTAGTTGCTATGAAAGCCAGAATCTAAATATTTCTGAGATTTTCCCAGATGCACAGAGGCTGTGTGATGGGTTGTCATCAGGTCTGCCGATGCTACAAAGTAGTAGCAGCAGCAGTTGCTCAGAAGCTCCCCTTTTTGTTCATTTCTGTTGTGAAGTCTCTAGAGTGATAGAAAAAGATACTGAAGATTGACATTTGCCTTTGCTGAGGAGAAATGATTGTAGTGAACATCAGAAACTCTGGTTTGAAAGGTATTTGAATATTTCAACCTCACAAATGCCATTGAGACTTGAATATGTGACAGAAAACTTTCATCCTTGGGTTCACATATTTAGAATTTAATTTATGATTGAAAAATTCAGGAATGACTGACATAGCTCACGGCAAGTGACTATTGACTGCTTCAAATTATATTTTCCTTTTGAAAGTCCTCCAGCCTGCTCCACATCAAGTGATAACTAATTTCCCTGAGGGGGTCCGGCTTTCAACAACTCGACCAACCAGACCACCACCTCCTCTTATCCCATCATCGAAAACCACAGTGGCTTCAGAAAAACCATCTTTTATAATGGGAGGCTCCATCTCACAGGTAAAATGGTTCTTTATGGCATATTTCCTGTTGAATTTTATTTTGATAAAACTTCCCTCTTCAATTTGTCAGTATACTAGTATGCAATAATCTATCAGAATATGAAACATCTAGAGAGAATGAACAGAAAATGCAGTAATTGCTATATTCCACAGGACCTTTTATTGAATTATATATCCAGATTGACCATGATATACAACCTGGTTTAATTTCACAAAGGCACATAATTAAGGGCTGGGGCTATAGCTCAGTGGTGTAAGCGCCTGCCTGGCAAGTGCAAGGCCCTGAGTTTGATCCCTGGTACTAAAAAAAAAAAAAAAAAAAAAAAACACATAATTGTTTTTAATTTTTTTTTTTTTTTTTTTTGGTGGCTGGCTCAGCCCACTCTGGAGGTGGAACTGGCACAGCATGTGGTACGGGGGATTGAACCACGGAAGCTTGTCTAAGCTTACCTGAGCAGGCACTTTAGACTACTGAGTTATCTCGCCAGCCTGTTTGTTGTAATATAAATAAAAATTGAATTCATTCTCATACATTTGTTTGTTGAATATTTGAAAGGCTAAATGTTACATTGTAGATGGTATTATTCTGATATAGGCTACTAAAAATGTCTTTACAATGTATATTTTTAAAAACTCTGATATAGTCAGATCTTAAATCATTTAAATCAGTTTTCAGTCATGTGTAAAACAGTAGCCATATCCTGACAAGTTATTTAGCATTCCAGTTACTTGGAAGATTTTCTCCTTTTCCTTCATGGGCATTCTTCTCTCCTACTGCCTGAAGCAACTACTGTGTAACTTTCTGTTTTCATAGATTGGTCTTGCCTTTTGTAGAATTTCTTATAAATGGAATTGTACAGTCTCCATTCTTTCATGTATGTGTTGTCTATCTCAGTGTATTAGTTTTAGGACTTTAGGTTTTTGCTTAATCAGTAGACAAAATAATTGTAATTAATTAGTAATTATTGTAATTAATCAGTAATTATTGTTGAATAATGAATATACTGGTTTATTCATTTTTCTTTTGAGTGAAATGTGAGCTGTTTATAGTTTCTGACTTCTATAGATAAAACTGTGATACATTTTTGTAGTATATTCTTTATGGACATATGTTTTTACTGCTTTTGTGTAATTACCTGGGAGTGGATTTGCTGGGTATGATTTACTTTGTAATTTTCTAGAGTGGTCTTACTGTTTTTTTTTAAAGTTTTGCTTTGTGGTCCTAAAATTTTACATAGCCGCTAGCATTGTACAAGACCCAAGTTTCTATTGTCAGTCTTTTCCTTTCTTTTTTATCTTTTATTTGTTCATTCATTCATTTGGTACAAGGTCTCGCTATGCAGCTCGGATTCATAGTGGTCCTCCCGTCTCAGCCTCCCTAGTGCTGGAATGTGTGGGCCTGCACTGCCACACCTGATTCCAGGGCCAGCATGGTGCACCTGGGATTCTGGGGCTGGCATAGCATGCAGTATCGGGGATTGAAGCCCCAATCCCTGCCCTTGCCTAAGCAGCCGCTTAGTATACTGAGATCTTGCGAGTCCTATAAGGACATTTCTGTTCATTTCTTATTCCTTGTGTATGATTACATTTTCTTGTTTCTTATAATGTTTTGTTATTGTTTTGTTATTTGGGGTCAAAACTGGACATTTTATATGTCTGGAAATTATATATCTCCTAGAGGTTCTTTTTTCAGTTTTTTTCCTTTTTTTAAAAAAAAAATTTATTTATGTGTGTGTGTGTGTGTGTGTGTGTGTGGCCAGCTCAGCCCACCAGGGGGCGGGGCTGGCTGGCATGTGGTGCTGTGGATTAAACCGTGGTCCCTCTGCTTTGCTACGCTTGTTCCAAGTAGGTGCTTTAGACCACTGAGCCATCTCACCAGCCCCTTTCAGTTTCTTTAGTGACTTTTCTGAATTCTCCCCCCAAAATTAATTCTGTAAAGTCTGTGTTATTTGTCATGTGTGACCACTGAAGTCTATCCTTGGTTTGCTTAATGGTCAGTCAATAACTGAGCAGAGATTTCTTTTATTACCTAAAACCAGCCTTTGTGAGTCTTTGCTAAAGGACTGTCTGTGTAATGGGCATGCTCTCAGCACCCAACCAGTTGACAGTTCTGCTTTAGTGCTTCATTGCTTTGCAGCGCCTTAGGATCACCCAGAGAGAACTTAGGACCTTTTCTTGACTTGCCTAGGCACATGCACATGTGCAGTATGTGTACGTAGCCATGCGTGCATCGCTTTCTAGGTCCCAGGAATATGTTGGAGCTTTTCAATCCCTGTGAACGTCTCACTTTTCCCTTTAAGCTCTCTGGGTAGCCTTTCTTTGTTCTCAGATGGCAGAGAAGCTCGTCAGTTGCCTCTATTTTGACAAGCCTGCATCTCTTCCCCATCCTCAGGTAGATCAAATACAGGGGGCTTTGCTCATAAAGCATCCTCGAGAACCACCAAAGAGGTTAAATAATGAGAACTGTCTCTTAGGCTTTTGTTTTGCCTCTTTCCCTCAGGTGCCTGCCAGGCTGCTGGTTTGCACCATGATTGTGGGCTACTTGTTTTCAACACTCTCACAGAACTTGTAGGGGAAGGTAGAAATGGCAGTAGAGCAAGTGAAATTATGACAAAACTCATCCATTTTTCTTAAATAAGTGTTCCTAGATTTTTGTAAATTTGATTAATTTTGAGAGTTCTGTAAAGGTTGATCCTAGTTTTTGCTGACTTTGTGGGAGAGCTTTCAGCAGTCTTTGAGTCTGCCACTTTTGCTGAAAGGGTTCTTTATAGCTTTTTCCCTTTTTTTTGAAATGGGGTGTCACTCTATAGGGTAGTTGATCATGGTATTAAATTCACTGTGTAACCCAGACTTGCCTTGAACTCTGCCATCCTTCTGTCAGGCTCCCAAGAGATGAGGCTATAAGCATGCATTACCAGGCCTGGTTTCTCTGTAGCATTTTTTAGTATATGTGCTGCCAAAGTGAGCATCTCTATAGCATTTTTAAGAGGAATAAATGTTTTTCAGTAATATTACATATATAATTTATGATAAGGTCAGAAGACATATCTTATTTCTCTTAAAATTTTTAAAAATGTAATGTAAGCTAAAATTTTTCTTGTTTTGCAAGTACTTTTCTTGATTTAAGATTATAAATTTTATACACAAATGTAAAAATTGACTTTATAAATAACTTTGAAAAAAGACAGTGTTTGGTCTTTTAAAATTGTGTTTTAGGGAACCCCTGGCACTTACCTGACTTCTCATAATCAGGCTTCCTATAGTCAAGAAACAGCTAAGCCTTCAGTGGGGTCTATCTCTCTTGGATTGCCACGGCAGCAGGAATCCACCAAATCAGGTCAGTGAGTTAATCATAATGTATCTGCATTTATAGCATCACAGCCAGCAATTCAGTACTTGATCTCTTCATGTTTCTCTTGATTTCATCCACAGCTACTTTGCCCTACATAAAGCAGGAAGAATTTTCTCCCCGAAGCCAAAATTCTCAACCTGAGGGTTTGTTGGTCAGGGCCCAACATGAAGGTGTGGTCAGAGGTAAGATAGTATATAATTTGACAAAATGTTAACGACATGCTTTCAAGTTATTAGCCTTTGAATTGTAAGTTTTGGGGGTTTTTCCCTTTTAAAAAGATTTCAAAACTTTGAAGTCAGGTTGTGGGTTTATCACTTCACTTAGTACAACACTCCATTTAATATGTGTAGGGCCAGGGGTTTGATCCCAGCACTATGCAGAAGCAAAACAGAAAATACTTTGAAATTACATACTCAATAGTCCTTTTAAATAATTAAGTTAATATTCTAGAAATACATTTCAAGAGCCCACCAGATATCTCAGCGGACTAAAGCGCCTGCTTAGGCAGGCACAGGGACCAGGGATCAATCCCCAGCATGCCATGCCACCCCACCCACTGGGCACCCTGAGATGATGACTGAGACTGCTCATGATGCCATGCACCGGTATTCCCAGTGTTTTGGAGGCTGAAAACGGGGATCACTGAGTCCACTATGTTATAGTGAGGCCCTGTAGACCCTGTACCAAATACATGAAAAGAAAAGAAATACATTTCAATAGTGCCCATCTTATTCTTCTATCAGTGTGGGTCAGTTTTCTGGTTCTTTTGGTTTTTTTGGGAGAGAGATGAGGGGCTAATTTGCTAATGATTTTGTTTTCATTCAGGTACCACAGGAGCCATCCAAGAAGGAAGTATAACTCGGGGAACTCCAACCAGCAAAATTTCAGTAGAGAGCATCCCTTCTCTACGAGGATCTATCACTCAGGTTAATTATCGTATATCAAATGTATTAAACAATAACTAAGAAAAAAATAGAAGTCTTAAGAGCTTTGGCTCGTTATGGATTATGGATCACTTATTTTCAAAAAGACTGAACAAACATACTTTAATTTGGTACAGTTCTCAGTATCCTTGTGGCAAAACTTTTGGCATGACAGCTTCAATAGAAATCAAGAAAATCATTTCACATTATACACTTTCTTCAGCCTTTTATGTCTGCAATCTTATAGGTTACATTATTTGAATCTATTGTGAATTAAGGAAAGTGCTAGTGTTAACAAAAGCACAGAAGGTTAAATATCTTCTCCCAGTTTTGAGTTAAATATATTTGGGTTAAATATTTTTTCAGCTGGGCATGGTGGTGCTTGCTATAATTCCAGTACTCTGGAAAGCTAAAGCAAGAGTATCACAGAATCAATCTCAGCCAGACCAATTTAGTGACTTGAGACCCTGTCTCAGAATGAAAACAGGCTGAGGAAAAGTCAGGGTTCAGTCCCCTATCTATATGGGGAAAGGAGTGTCATTTTTAAAATTAAGCTCCTTTTCCTCATTTGGTATTAATTTTAATTTGTAGTATAAATCAATCCTTAGCTTTAATTTTATAAATGTAGAAGTGAAATCTGTTACAAGAAATCATTATAAACTTTTTATATATCGACACAAGTTTTTGCACCAATTGCCACACATTTTCTTTCCTTTATCTTGTTCCTATAACATAGGTAGTATTTTTTAAGGCATGGTCTCTAAGCCAGTAACATCAGTATCTTTTGGAAAGTTGATAGTCTAAAAATCCTCAGTTCTCATCTTGGGCTGGAACCTAGCAATATTTTTCTGAGCCTCCATGACTCCCTTCAGGTCTTGCTGAGTGTGTTCTGTGCACCCCAGTGTCAGCATAGTTGGCAGGTTGCTAGAGTAATGTGGAAATGTAGTCCTCACTCTGGACCTTATGAATTAGAATCTTGACGAACAAAATTCCCACGTGATTCTTCCTTCAGACATGGTTCACATTTTAATATGGTCAAAAGAAAAACAGGCCTATACATATTATTTTTCTTCATGTTTTTCCCTTTTATTCTAGTATTCAGACATTATCTACAAAATAGTGAAGAACTATGTCAAAGTTATATTTTATACATTTATTTTTAAATACCTGTCCATTTGATGTGAAACTGAGGTGTGTGTTAGGATTTTTAGGTATTTACTGCTGAGTTCATTTATGACTGGATGATGAATATATTATTCTTACTGCTTTCCCTGTTATGTGAGTATAGACTTGAATAATACTCACTGGAGTTTTAGGCCTTGTCAGAGTAAGTTAGGAGCCCCATCCATGTCAGTGGGTCTTTACTCCCATCACTCTAATTTCAACCCAAGTAGTTTACTTTTGCAAAGTATCCTAGTAGGCTTCATGAACTATTTCTCTATAAGAAATGGGGAAAAAAGACAGTGGTTATTGGCAACCAGATATGGCCTAAACTAAGTCATTCTCACAAAACAACATGTTTTTTCCCCTGTCTTCTTAATGATGATTTAAGGCTATTGCAGCAGAAAATTTGATAATTGAAAATTCTATTTCCTCTAATTACAGCATGAAAGTCATAGTACTGTAAATTTAAACTTAATGTGAAGTGTTATTTCTGTTAGAAATTTTGTCAACATTTAATTATATTTACATGATTTTAAACCTTAAGACAAACTGCGGTTTGACTATTAGGTGGAGAACAAAGCTGATTCACCTAGCATTGTTTTAAGAAGTTTTTATGATAGAATTCAAGAAGATGCAGGATTTCTTTTGTGCTTATAAAAATTGAATGTCTGATTTCTTCTCATGTTCTCATGCTGTCTTTAGGGATATGAATCTAACTTTCAGGGTAGTAGGTTATATTTGCCAAGTATCTTGCATCTCCTCTAACCTTAAGTGACTCTTCTGGTGGCTGTGTTTGATTTGATGGCAGGGGACCCCAGCTCTGTCCCAGGCTGGCATACCAACTGAAGCTTTGGTGAAGGGATCCATTTCTAGGATGCCAATTGAAGAGAATAGTCCTGAGAAAGGCAGAGAGGAAACTGCATCCAAAGGCCATGTCATTTATGAAGGAAAAAGTGGACATATCTTATCATATGATAGTAAGTAGACTCTGGCTTTCTCATGTTCTTGCTTTCAGGAAGTCAGTTTACCTTTGCAGAATCTGTTTTTTCTCAGTGAAAGGGATTAATAATAATGGGGTTTTTTTTGGTTTGTTTGTTTCTTTAATAAAAGTTTTATGAAAAATCTGATGAGAAAGTGAAAAGTTGTTAACAGTGCAGAGCCCATGGGAAGTGTCATAGTATAACATGTCACTTGACTAGTCACTAAACTAAGAAAAGAATCTTCATTAGACTTAAATGGCACCACTTTTATTTTAATGAGATTCATATTATGAAGCAAGAATTAGGAAATAGATGATTTGCTGATCATGAAAATATTTTTTAATTATTTATTTATTTTTATTGTTTTCTGTATGTAGGACAGGCTCTACAGGGTCTCACTACTACATAGATCGGACTCATAGTGATTCTCCTGTTTTCAGCCTCCCAAGCACTGGGATTACAGGTGCATGCCACCATGCCCAGTCTCAATCGCCCTCTCAGCACGCCCCAGGGACGGGGCTGGCACAGCATGCCAGGGATCTAGTCCCGGCCACTGCGCTTTGCCTAAGCAAGTACTTTAGTCTGCTGAGCTGTCAGGGAGGCCCTCATGAAAAGAATTTTTAAATTCTCTATTTTGTATCTGTTTCTTTGTATATATGGAAACATTTTCTTTAGATGTATTATATCTTTAGTGTTATTTTATGACAGTAATTCAACTGTGATATTAATATTAGTCCAAAGACTAAGTTTATGTTCTCATTTGCAACTTATTATGCCCTTAGTCACTAGCTATATGTCATCTTTCTCTTCAGATACAAAGAAGTGAAGTATGTACATATTCCCTGCTGCCGTAAAAATGCCTTTGCATTTTGTTTATTTCCTTCCTTCCTTTATTCTCTTTTTTTTTTTTTAAAAAAAAGTATCTGGGGTATTTCAATTCAAATTTTGTTTTTGTGACAGGAGGAGATTCATTAATTTACATTGTCTAAGCCAGAAATTCTGTCCACTTTTCTTTCCACATCCAACATATGGAGTAATTTCTGTTCTGTTTCCTGTGGTCTCTGGAATACGTCTGTTACTCTGTATTATTCCTTGCTGTTGCTGCCTTTTATTTTTACAGTTCAGTGGCTACCTAACCGATCTCCATCTCCGTGTCTTGAGTCAGACCTATATTCAAAGCTGTACATGTTGTTACTTTGTGCTCTGTTACCTCTAAGATACCTGCAGGCCCCATAAGGCCCTTAACTTCAGCTTTTCATGATGCACTTCCTGCTTACTGTTGTAGGTGTAGGTGGTTTGTTTCCAACTTTCTCCTTTGCTCCTCTATATTTCCTTCCCCTACACTTTTCTTCTTCGTTCCATTCTTGAGAGTCACCATCTACTAGAATTTCTTGTAATGTACCATATTCTGTCTTACCTGCAGGTATTTGTGTTCATCTGTCTGCCTGTACTCTTTTGCCTTTTACCTGAGCAATTCTTACCTATTCTTTAGTTCTCAGCTTATGTATTATTTTTTTCGGGGCAACTTTATCTGAACTTGGAGGCTACCGGTTTCCTTCCCTGTACTCTCATAACACCATTATACTTATCTGTCACACTGAATAGGAAGAACCTATTAAGTTGCCTGAAATTACCACTGTTGAGTAGGTTTTAGGAACTTAATTTTTTAATCTTACTTGCAAGTCTACCTTAAGCTTGGCACAGTGTAGTCATTTAATAAACATATTAGAACTGATAAATACATTTTCATGAATGCCAGTCATGTACAGATGTCTGTTGTAGCTTATGGCACATTTTTAACTTCTGGGGGGTACAGACTAAAATTAAGGTAACTTATTTCATAAACATTGTAGGTATTGAGTTCTGTCTGAACAGTTGTTGCTGTATTCTATAGATATCAAGAATGCTCGAGAAGGGACTAGGAGTCCAAGAACAGCTCATGAAATCAGTTTAAAAAGAAGCTATGAATCAGTGGAAGGAAATATGAAGCAAGGAATATCCATGAGGGAGTCTCCTGTATCAGCACCATTAGAAGGTAAAGTGTTGTTTCCAGAACATTATTTGGATATATTTAATTTTGTAAAGTAAGTTTGCATTGTTGAATTAAGTTGTTTTCAATCATTCTCTTTTATTTCTACCCAAAATTTATATTAATGTAATTTTAAGTTTATATTATTAATTCATCTGTATAAATCAGAAGGCAAATGATAATAAAGTAAAAATTGAACATAATCATAACTAGGTAACTGTTAGCTCATTTTTCAGTACCCATACCATTTGTAGATTATCTCTCTTGGAGTTTAAGAATGTAAAGTTCGTAAGGTGAATGTGGTAGTACATGGCTGTAACCCCACTTTTGGGGAAGCTCGGTAGGATCCTGAGTCCAAGGGCATTGTAGGCAACTTAGCATGACCCTGCTGTAAAGGAAAAGAAAATAAATAATAAAATATGTAAAATGTATTTTTATTTTACTTTCAAGGTAGATATAACGTAATATGTAATGATTAAAGATAAATTTTAATTCTAGCTGTACCTTTTCTTAGTAGATTTTTTTTTTTTTTTTAATTTTTAGAGAAGGGTCTACAGGGTGTTCAGGGTCTCACTACTAGATCAGACTTATAACGATCTGCCTGTTCACAGCCTCCTAAGAGCTGGGATTACAGGTGCGCACCACCACACCCAATCTCAAATGTTGTCTCAATGTATCCCAGGGGCAGGGCCAGCGTGACACCTACTAGATTTTTTTTTTTCCTTTTTCCTAGTAGATTTCTTTGCCCATTTCTTCCTCAGTAAATTAAGGAATTGTACCCATTTGCATGAGAATTGAAGACATGTTTCTAACTTGATGCTGATCACGTGCTATGCATTAGATCGCTATGGTTTGGTTTAGTTTGCTTGGGTTTGCTTCACTTTGGTTATAATGTCTGTTTCTTTAAAAATCTCAACTAGTCCCAACTAAATTTTAATCCATGTGAAATACTAAAAGCAAGGTAAATCCTGTATAACATTCTAAGAGCTGGATGTTCATTATATTAAAAAATAAACATCTATTTTTACTTCAGGGTAACTATATATGAGATTACTTTCAACCTTTGATTGACATTTATTGGCAATATACTGTGAAAAAATTTTTTTAATGTATTTGGTACAGGGTCTCATTATACAGATCAGACTCATAGTGGTCCTCCTATTTTCAGCCTTCTGAGCGCAGGGATTATAGGCGTGCTCCACCATGCCCAGTCTCAATCACTGTCTCAGGGTGCTCAGGGGGATCAGGGGACTTGGGTGGCGCGGCATACCAGGGATGGAACCCCAGTCCCTATATCTGCCTAAGCAGTTACACTTTAATCCACTGAGCTATCTGGTAATCCTGTTAAATCTCTTTTTCTCTCTTTTTCTTTTTCTTTTTTTTAAGACAGAATCTCACTGTATAAATAGTCCCAAATTTGTGGTAGTCCTGCTTCAGCCTCCTGAGTGCTGGGATTATAGGCATGTGCCACTGTGCCCAATTAATGTGAAATTTCTTAAAAAGATTTGCCTTTGATAAAAAAGAATTGGGATTTTAAATTTAGCTTCAAAGTTTATCTTTTTTGATCTGTAATTAGATGCCTTTTATGGCCATTTTGTATTTAGGAAAATTTCTGAAGAACTGTGTGGTACCATATTAAGTATTTCTTATCTTTTTCTATGATATTTTTCTGGATAGTATGCAAATCTAAAATGACATTCCTTCCTCCATAGGGTCTTTTATCAAAAACTGTACTCTTAAGAATGTATATGTGACTTGCCATATACTTTATGTTTAATAGTTGAATTTCTTTCTTGTTTCCAAAGGGCTGATATGCCGAGCATTACCCAGGGGGAGCCCTCATTCTGACCTCAAAGAAAGGACTGTACTGTCTGGCTCCATCATGCAGGGTAAACTTTCTGTTTGTTTCACCTTTTTATTTTTAACTGCCTTGCTGGCCCAGTGTTTTTCCTATTGATTTGCAAGCCATAAAATCTGCTTGTCAAGATTTTTTACCTTTTGAAATACTAAGTTTTGTCTATAAGTTTTCCATCTCTGAGCTACATAATTTCGTGGAAGATAATGGCTGCCTAATCTTTCAACTTTGAGATGGTTTTATATGTAAGGACCATTGTGTGACTGTGACAGATGTGTATTGTATCTGGAATAGCCTTACAAAATAATGATTGAGGAGTATTTATTTGGGAATTTATATACAGAAAATGGATTAGAAACTGAAAGATGGAAAGGCATTACTTTTTTGTTGTTTTCCTTTTAAAAAGAAAGCCAGAATTTCAAACCAAGAGGTGAGTAACAATAGTTAATACAGCCAGGGAGATAGCTCAGTAGATTAAGTGTTTGCCTGGCAAGTGCAAGGGCCTGAGTTCAGTCCCCAGTTGTGCAAAAACAAAACAAAACAAAACCAAAAACCCTCACCCATTGTTTGAGATAATTCAGTGGTCTAAAGCTTCTGCTTAGGCAAGCATGCAGGGACCTCGGTTTGATCCCCAGTACCACATGCCATGCCAGACCCGCCCCCAGGGTGGGCTGAACTGACCATTAAAAAAAAAAAAAGTTAATATATTGTATATTGTTATCTGTAAATTAGTTACTCAGGGTACTGTATATTACCGTGTAATTGCTCAAGCAATATTAACACAAACTTTTCTTTTCCATGAACTAAGAGAAATTAGTAGCAGAAATATCTTAACTAATATATGTGTGTGTGTGTGTGTGTGTATACACACACACACACACACACACACATATATATATACACATAATAATTGTTGTTTTTGCTTTTCCCTTTTTTTTCTCCATTCCTCCATCCTAGTTTCTGCCTTTTGATGTTTATTTTCATTTTACAATATCTGTTGTCCTTTTTGGACTTCATTTACTCTTGTCAGCTTCTCACTCTGTGGACACGCAGTGTTTGTACATATGCATCATTTATTCCACTTTAGAGTACGGTTTCAAATTCCATCCATGTACCTATAAAAGTTTCAATTTATCCTACTTTAAGGCTGTGTAGTGTTCTATGTATAAAAAGACCACATCTTTTTTATCCATTCCTCAGTTGATGGACATTTGGATTGTTCTAAGATCTAACTATTACAAATTGTGCTGCTATAAACATGGGTGCACACATAGCACTATGGTACAGGGTTTTTAATTCCTCTGGGAAGATACACAGAAGGAGGGTAGCTAGGTCAAATAGGACCTCCAATCCTAGTGTTTGGAGGAATCTCCACACTGATTAACATAGTGGTTGAACCAGTCTATACTCCCACTAACAGCTGAGAAGGGTTTCTTTTTCCCTACAGCCCCTTGAGCATTTGTTATTGGTTGATTTCTTCATAATAGTCATGCTTTCTAGCGTGAGTGTTGTTTTAATTTGCATCTCTTGAATGACTAGTGCTATTGAACATTCTCTCACATACTTATTTTCTTTTTGTATTTCATCTAAGGAGCATGTATTTATCTTCACCGCTTATTTTTGCATTGTGTCTTTATATTTGAGAGGTATGTTTTTTTGAGTTCTGTGTATGTTCTTGATAGTAATGCTTTGCCTAAGAACAGCTGGCAAACATTTTTTTCAACATTGTGAGTTGTCTCTTCATTCTTTGGTGGTTTCTCTTGTTGTGAAAAAACTTTTTAATAAGATGAGATCCCAGTTATTGATTCTTTGTGATAATTCCTTTGTGATTGGGGTTTTATTTATAAAGTCTTTGTCTTTATCAGTATCTTCAAGAGTTTTACCTATTCTATCTTGTAGCAGATTTAATGTTTCCATTTTAATTTTTATATCTTTGATCCATTTCAAATTTAGTTCAGTGCATGGGACAAATTTTAATTAAGAGTATATAAGTCAGTGTTGTTCTATAACTGTCAGCATTATTTTAATAAATATGTTTCCTCAATTCTTTTTGAAGGCACACCAAGAGCAACAACTGAAAGCTTTGAAGATGGCCTTAAATATCCCAAGCAGATTAAGAGGGAAAGCCCTCCCATTCGAGCCTTTGAAGGTGCCATTACCAAAGGAAAACCATATGATGGCATTACTACTATCAAAGAAATGGGACGTTCCATTCATGAGATACCACGGCAAGATATTCTAACTCAGGAAAGCCGAAAAACTCCAGAAGTGGTTCAGAGCACGAGGCCAATAATTGAAGGTTCCATTTCCCAGGTAACTAGATCATGGCTGTTTTTGTCAGTGATTCCATTTCACAGTAACAGTTATGAAACATTTTAAAAATGTGATTTATTAGTTGTAACTATTTCTTACTGTGTCATACCTGTTGGAAATGAACATGAAAATTTTATGTGTTCCATATCAGTTTTTGGTTTTGCTCTCCTTTTCGTCTTTTAATCCATCATATGCATGGAGTGACTACTTTGGGAAAGAACTCAAGATCCATGAAATAGCCACACAGACTGTAAAGGTCATCATGGTAGACTATAGCTGCCATGGACGAAACGTAGACCCAAGACAGAACAATATCCAGGTGACATGGTTATCTATAATACTTATTTTTTTCCCTTTAGGGCACACCAATAAAGTTTGACAGCAACTCAGGTCAATCTGCCATCAAACACAATGTCAAATCCTTAATAACGGGGCCCAGCAAACTATCCCGTGGGATGCCTCCACTGGAAATTGTACCAGACAGCATAAAAGTGGTGGAACGGGGAAAATACGAGGATGTGAAAGCAGGAGAGCCAGTACGTTCCCGGCACACATCAGTGGTGAGCTCTGGCCCCTCTGTCCTCAGGTCTGCACTTCACGAAGCACCCAAAGCACAGCTGAGCCCAGGAATTTATGACGACAGCAGTGCTCGAAGGACCCCTGTGAGTTACCAGAATACCATGTCCAGAGGCTCTCCCATGATGAGCAGAACTTCGGAGGGTATGTTATGTTATTACCTTGCCCATTCATTTTTACTTTTTTTTTTTTAACCTCTGGCAAATAGAAAATACCACAAAGTCTGGGTCTAATGAAGTCATGAAGTTCTCTAGGGTATACTTTAAGGTCAGTTTTCAGCATATTATTTTAGGTCTTTCTTAGGATCTGTTTTTGTTATTCTCTAGTGAAAGTAGTCAGATGACTGGACCTTAGGCTCTGGAATGAGACTGCTTAGGTTAGAATTAAAGTTCTTACTGTATCAGCTTAAACAAGTTAACTTTTCTGTACCTTAGTTTTCTCATCCATAAAATGGTAATATACTACTGAGAGCTGCTTGCACTATTGTGAAGATGAAATGAGGTAGGACATTTGAAGAACTTAGGACAGTGGCTAGCATATGCAAAGAACTCAATAAATGTATGCTATTTTTACTCTTTTAATTATAACCTCGTAGTGCTGGCAACTACATTACTAAGGAAGAATCATTGATTTTTTTTTTTTTAAAGCCAGGTGTCCATGAGTCTCTTAAACATACATTTACTTATTTTTATTTTTTTTAATTAAAAATTTTTTTTTTGAGATAGGGTCTCACTATGCAGCTCAGACTGGCCTGGAGCTCACTTGTAGCTCAGGCTAGTCTCAAACTGGCAGTGATCCTCCTGCCTCAGCCTCCCAGGCCTGGCTACTTCTTTGTAATGTGATTGTCATAGGTTTTAATTGAGGCCTCATGTGCATGCTCTTGGGTTGATAGTGAGAATTCTCGTACAGATGAACAGTTCAGGAGAGAGAGGAGCAACACACGAGGAAGAGGGGGAAAGTGCCTGGTTGTGGGTAGGAGGATGAGACCAAACCTTTTACCTCTAGTTTGGAAAAAGAATTATCTTGCAGGCAGAAAGGTACTACACAATTGAGCAAGTTAGAGCATGGAAAGAGTTCTGATAAAGTAATTTCCTAGTTTTGACTGACAGATTTGTTTGATCATGGCAAAAAATACTATCAAAGTTTTAGTCTTTAGATATTTGTGATGCCTGCATGCCTGTACTTAATTCTACTGAATCGTATTTTTTAAAATGGCATGTTTGGGCTGCCAAGATAGCTCAGCAGTCTAAAGCACCTGCTTAGGCAGGCACAGGGGACTGCACGGTTCAATCCCCACACCACATGCCACATCAGCCCTGCCATCAGGGCGGACTGAGACTGCCAAAAAAATAAAATAGGATAAAATAAATAAGTAAATAAAGATGGCATGTTTGACTGGGCATGGTGGCATATGCCTGTAGTCCCAGCACTCAGGAGGCTGAGGCAGGAGGATTGCCACAAGTTCAAGTGGCCTGGGCCATATAGTTAGTTCAAGGCCAGCCTGAACTACACAGCAAAGATCCTCTTTTTTACTTATTTTCTGTGTGTGTGTGTGTGTGTGTGTGTGTGTGTGTGTGTGTGTTACTAGGGATTGAACCCAGGGCATTTGTGCTGGGATTTCTAAATTAAGTTTGTTTTTCATTTTTAGGCAGGGTCTCATAAATTGTTCAGGTTGGGGTTGAATCTGCAAACTTCCTGCCTCAGCCTCCTGAGGACCCGGGATTACAGATGTGTGTCACCATGTACTTGGCTTAAAATGACACGTTTTTATTTTACCACAGAGTGGTAGCTGTGAAAGGCTTGGATATGATAAGCAAAGATGAGGCTTTTTAACCATTCTGAAATACATCATGTAGAAAAAGAGAAGCTAGAAGAAGGAGGAAAACAGATGTTCTTGTGGTGGATAGTGTTGAAATGAGAAAATCATTGGAAGAGCAGAGCAAAGAAATCATTAGTCTAACTCATGATTGGCAGATAGCAAGGTATTCACAAAACACAGGTAATGAGAGGAAGTTGAGGATTCCTACAAAAGGGACCCAAAGAATTTAGAATGTTAGTGTCATACAGAAAACAAATGGAACTTCATTAACTTCATAATCTGGTCATAAGATGGAACAGTACCCTTGAGACTGCCACCGGAGACAGTCTCTTCCAGGTCACAAAGCTTTCTACTATTTTCCTCATGCTTGCATATTCTGAAAAGTTGAATATTAAGTATTTAGGAGAAAGAAGAATGAACTAATTATACAGTCAAGAAAGGAATAAATATGATTGTACTTTGTCTTTTTCTTCATTCATCCATTCATTCGAGAGAGAGACTGGGGATTGAGCCAAGGGACTTTGCACTGAACTATAACCCCAGCCCCTGTCTGTCTGTCTGTCTGTCTGTCTGTCTGTCTATCTATCTATCTATCTATCTATCTATCTATCTATCTATCTATCTATCTAACTATCTATCTATCTATCTATATTTTTGGAGGCAGGGTCTCACTAACTTGTTCACACTGGGCTCAAACTATCAATCATTCTGCCAGGTCTCCCAGAGTACTAGGACTACAACATGCTGAACCTGCTAGTTTTCTTAAGAATTTTTGGCTTTGGCTCTTTTTTTCCAGTTACGATTTCTTCTAGCAAGTCTGCCAATCATGAAAGGAAGTCGACACTGACCCCTACCCAGAGGGAAAGTATATCAGCCAAGTCTCCAGTGCCGGGGGTGGATCCTGTTGTGAGCCATAGCCCATTTGATCCCCATCACAGGGCCAGCACTGCAGGAGAGGTTTATCGGAGCCACCTTCCCACGCACTTGGATCCAGCAATGCCTTTTCACAGGGCTCTGGATCCTGGTAAGCATGACCAGGAAACCTATGGCAGAGAAATAATATACCTGTATGACTGTTAAACTTTCTATTATAGTTCAATATGCAGATAACTATATAAATATACAGATCAGTAAATTTTTGCAAACTGAAGATCCCACATTACCAGCACCCAAATCAAGAAATAAAAAATTGCTGGCTCTCTTTGAAGAACTAAAAATGCTATAATAAGTATCAGGAAAGCCATATATTTGATGTTAACTGATGAATCTAATTGAAAATGTGGGTAAATATGAGAAATTATTTTTGAGTGACAAGGCATATGTTAAACATGCTAATTGACAACAGAGATACTTACTTACCTAAGTCAATGTAAGATCCAAGTTTGGCTTTATTTTTTAATTTTTTTTATTGTTTTGGGTTTTTTTGAAACAGGGTCTCATTTTGTACTGTTGGCTAACCTTGAACTCACAGTTGTCTCCTGAGTGTTGGGATTACAGGCATGTGCCCCCACACCTAGCTTGGCTTTATTTTTCTAAATGAAGCTAGAATGTAAAGATAACTTCAAGTAGTCCAGATATATGACTTTGTAGATTTTTTTGCCCCATAGTTAAAATTATAGTTTATATACCTGATTGAACTTTATTTAGTGTTGAGTCTTTATAAAGCACACAGCTCTCTTCAGAGAAACAACTCTTCTTTTCCTCTTTTATTGATTTCCAGACTGTTTCATTAACTGTTAACTTAATGGCAAATACAACCTAAAGAAATTTGTAAGCACACACCTCTAATGTTAGTGAACATGGTTTTGGTAGCTGCAGATATGTTCAGGTTACTAGAGAACAGTCTCCTGGCCTAGAACAGCAAATTTTATGCAGTGGGAAGAGTAGAGTTATCACATCCTGGATCTTTGCCAGGCTCTTCCTCCTGGGTTCTAGTCCTTGCTCCTCATTGTTGGTGCCAGCAGAGTCTAAGTATATGTGCTCTCTGCTCAAACATCTAAATTCATTTTGTATCCCTTGAATTAAAATTGGGACACAAAGTACTTGAGTCCCACCTTGGAAAGCAGTTTATCATTATTAGTTAATATGTCTAATTAAAAAGCTAAGAATTCTAAAAGTTTGTATTTCATAGTAGCAAAAAATATCTGTAGGAAATATTTTGTCTGAGTTCTGTCAATGCCATCAAATTACGTTACTTGAAAAAATTAAGTTCCAGAAGAGCCCAAACCTGGTATAGAGTCCATAACATATAATGGTTCATTCCCTTTAGGAGTTTTAAACTTCATATCGGTGTGAAGGTGAGAGATGAAGAGTAGAAACCGTTGCACATTGTGGGGCCGGGAGATGTGAATTTTCTGGGGCTAGTGACATAGTGTATCCTCTCCTATCCTGGGCAGTATTAGTAAGCCCTGTAATCTTGAGGGAGAACCAGAAACATTAGCGCCTGTGCTGTGTTGCTTTGTTCAGTTATCCAGTAGGTTAGGCATGTACAGTTCATTGTCTTTTTTGTTCTTTCTTCTTTCCTTCCTCCTCCATCTCTTTTTTTTTTTTTTTTTGAGAGAGTCTCATTGTGTAGTCCAGGGTGAACTTGAACTAATTGTGTAGCCTAGACTGTCCTGAACCCACAGTAATCTTCCTGCCTCAGCCTCCCAAATACTGGGATTATAGGCATATACCACCACCCCAGGCCATTTTCGATTTAAGATATTTTCAGTTTACAGTAGTGGGTTTATTGGATATAGCCCTGTCCTGAGTACAGAAGCAATCTGTATTTCGGGAGCTTTCTTTCACAACGAGATGAACAGAGTCAGTTGACAGATATTGTGGCTTCAAGTTCTGGATGAAAGGGAAACAGACACTTTGGGGAACATCCCAGCAGATTTTCTAGGGAGAACATATACATATAAAATTATTCACTGACATGCTTAGACAGAATTGTTTGTCATTTCTGTTTAATGTCTGTGGTAACTATTTTGTAGTAGTTAGGTTTGTCCTTTTTGAGCCTGAGCTAGATTGTAAATTGTTTTTAAGTTAGAAATACATCTCCTGGTTTTTACCATATTTATCCCTTCATAGTATCTTGTGTCATGTTCTAGCGAAAAGATTGCCAAACCAATAGCTTATGGGCTGAATCATGATGTGATCTTTTTCTGTAAATAAAGTTTCATTAGAGCCCAGTCATGCCCATATTTTTATCGGTAGCTGTTTTTGTACTGCAGTGACAAAGGTGAGTAGTTGTGATAGATGCTACATAACCCCCAAAGCCTAAAATATTCAGTCTGTGGCCCTTTACAAGAAGCAGTTGGGCATTCTCTATTCCAAACATATGTGTGCTAGGTAAAATGCTTATAAGTAATCATTTTTACAGACAGGGAAGTAAAATTTCTGGGTCACAAAGTATATTTATATACATTGGGTTGTATTTGAATAAGCAGTACTATGAAAGCTTTATTTTCAAACAGTTGGAAATATAGGGGCCAGCCTGATAGCTCAGCGTACTAAAGCACCTGCTTAGACAGTATAGTGCTCAGGGTTCGATCCCTGGCATGCCAGGCCAGGCCTGCCTGCAGAGTGTGCTGAGAGAGCAATTGAGATTGGGTGTTGTGGCGCATGCCTGTAATCCCAGTGCTTGGGAAGCTGAGAACAGGGCAATCACTAGGAGTCCCCTCTATGTAGTGAGGCCCTATAGACCTTGTAGACCCTGTTCTAAACACAGGGAAAAAAAAAAAAGAAAAGAAAATACTTAAGGTGAAAATATAATACTGAATGCTTTTTTCTCATTCTCTCACTCAGCAGCTGCTGCATACCTGTTTCAGAGACAGCTTTCACCAACTCCAGGCTATCCCAGTCAGTATCAGCTTTATGCAATGGAGAACACCAGACAGACAATCCTAAATGATTACATTACCTCACAACAGATGCAAGTGAACTTGCGCCCAGATGTAGCCAGAGGACTCTCACCACGGGAGCAGCCACTGGGTCTCCCATATCCAGCAACAAGAGGTATGTGTTTTCAGATGTTTTAGAATTTACTATGTTTACCTAGTAATTAGTAAGTATTTTGAATTCATGATGGAAAGAGAGAAAAGAAAGCCATATACTTCACAGACTTTAGCCCTTGACAGCAAACAAAATAATTTATCAAGACAGAGTATTTTGTGGACACTGAAATAACTAAACTAAATCGTACTATGTATGTATTTGAAATCCACACTTAAGAGTTTGTTCTCTTTAACCTACTATTCTTTAGGTCAGTGATTTGGAGCACAATGTCTAATTTCCTTCTTTAGCTTCAGGAAGGTCTAGAAAAGTAATGATGATCTTAGATACTTTCATTTATGTTATGTATGTTATTGTATTATATACAGATGGATAAAATCCACAGGCCATGTATAATGCTGTACCTTTAGAATAAGACAACATAAAGTGTATTTGTCTTTGGCTAGGAATCATTGACCTGACCAATATGCCTCCAGCAATTTTAGTGCCTCATCCAGGGGGAACAAGCACTCCTCCCATGGAAAGAATCACTTATATTCCTGGTACACAGATTACATTCCCTCCCAGGCCATACAACTCTGCATCCATGTCTCCAGGTAAGATGTCATGGTCACTGTCCTTTCTAACAGCACCAACTTGCTTAGATTTTTACAATTTAGTCTTTTAAGCCATTCTGGGCAGTTTTTCCCATTTATTGTGCTATTTTCCACTTAGTGTTTGTATCAGTAGCTCTTACATGCTAAATGTGACTAGGTAACCCTCAGAATACCCTGACAGACTATGTTATGTTCCAGTAGTTAACCAAAACTCTTAAAATTTCTACATCTGAAATTTGGAATATTTTATTTTATTTTGGTGGAACTGGGGATTGAACTCAGACCCTTGCACTTGACAGGGAAGTGCTTATTCTACTGAGCCATCTCCCTGGCCCCCCAAATTTGGAATATTTTAGAAAAAACTACACATAGGAATTTTTAAAATTGTACATAATAGTGTGACATTTTTTCTTTAAGTTTCAGATTCATGTGTTTTACAGGACACTCAACACATCTTGCAGCAGCTGCAAGTGCAGAGAGGGAGAGAGAACGTGAGCGGGAACGGGAGCGAGAGAAGGAGCGGGAACGAGAGCGAGAGCGGATTGCTGTGGCTTCTTCTGACCTCTACTTGCGTTCAGGTTAGTGAGAGAGACTGCTCCTTCCTTCTAGAGACAGGTCTTGGTAATTAATGTGGTGGGGCATTGTGTTTAATGCCATGGGCTAAACAGGAATCCCAAGATGGCAAATCATTACAAGCCTCAAGCAAAATGCAGGTGAAAATACTTTAGAAATTGTGGTGATGCTGGGTGTGGTGACCGAGGATTGCTGGGAGTTTGAGGCCAGCCTGGGCTACAAAGTGTGTTCATGTCCAGCCTGAACCACATTGTGAAATGTCTCAAAAAAAAGAAGTTGGGATGAAAGAGATGAATTTTAGAAAAAAGCTTTTGGCAATTAAAGTATTTATTCATTATATATAGGGTCTCTCTGCGCAGTACAGACTCATAGTAATTCCCCTGTTTCAGCCTTCCTAGCACTGGGATTACAGGTGGTTACCATGCCCAGTTTCAGTGGCTGGCATGATGCACTTGGGGTTCCAGGACTAGTACAACATGAAGTACCAGGGATCTAACTCAAGACCTTGTGCTTGCCAGTCAGGTGCGTAGACTACTGAGCTGTTTCCCCAGCCCTTGGCAATTGAGGTATTATTTTGGTTGTCCCCAGTTGTGCCTGAGATCCTGGGCACAGAGCTCTTAAAGCTGAAAGAATTGTCCAAGCAAAGGAAGCTGTGTGGCTCAACTCCAGGTTAAAGAGGGAATGGAGGATATGGTTAGAAGGCTTTGAGATATATAGTAAAGTAAGGCCACTCTCTGACATCAGAAGGACTTTTACACAACTGTACCAAGGGATAAATTAGAACCCTGGAGGTCGGCATATTCTGGTGTAAGAGGCCAGTGAGACTGTCAGTACTTCATATGCATGCTAATGGCAGCTTAATATGTTCTGATAATGACCAGAAGGAACTGCTGGAAAGACTATGAAGAGACTTAACAGTAAGTGGTATGGGAAGTGAGGAAGAAACAAGATTGGTATGAAATAAAGATTCAAAGGAAAAATAAAAAGAGCACAATTAGTGAAAGCAAAGAAAGAATGATTTTTATGTTGGATTTACTTAATCTGACATTTAGACCATCTGTTATTTTAATCAGATCAGACCATATACTATATCATATTGTCAGATTCACTAATCTTGCACTCAGGATAAAAGAGCTTGGGGTTGCTGACTGATTTCAAAGAGTTGAAACTTCTGTCTTGACTGAGACTTCCAAGGGTATGAGTATAAAAAGAGGAATAAGTCAGTCCCAGATGTTACCAGAATGGAGGTGGGGAGGCAGGAGGAAGTAGAGATGTGGTTGCAGAGGTAGATACAGAACTTGAGGCAGAGGTAGGAGGGCATCCCATTCATGTTTTTATACAAACTCATTTTTTGAAATTAATCTGGGACTAGGGAGATAGCTCAGTAGAATAAGCGCAGGGAATACATGTAAGGAACCCAAAAGTGTTTTTTTGTTTTTGGGTGGGGGGGTGAGGAGGTAGTACCAGGAATTGAACTTAAGATCTTGCACTTGGGGCTGGTGAGATGGCTCAGTGGTCTAAAGCACCTACTTAGAACAAGTTTAGCAAGAGCACAGGGACC